CCCCAAAACCCCAAAACCCCAAAACCCCGTATGGTATAAACGAGAAATCTTTATGGATTTGATAAATTTTATTATTAAATGTTAAAGATAGCAAAAAGATTTTTATCATAGAACGTTGAGCGACATCTTCTAGTTGAGAAGTTGGATAAAGGTGTCGTGGTATTCAGTCTCAATAGAGAAAAGAGTAGAAATGCTTTGAGTAGACTTCTTCTTCAACAGCTAGAGGAAGCATGCCATGAAAATGTTGAAGCCAATGCTATTATACTAAAAAGCCAGGCCCCGGGTATGTTTTGTGCTGGTGCTGATCTTAAAGAAAGAAAAGAAATGACTGAATTCGAAGTAAGATAAACATTAAGAAAGCTAAAGGCTAGCTTCATGCTTTTTGAAAATCTACCGTGCCCTACTATATCAATTCTAGATGGTGCTGCTCTTGGTGGAGGGCTAGAATTAGCTCTTTGCTCTGATATTAGAATTGCAACTAAGTAAGCCTAGTTAGGTCTTCCTGAAACATCATTAGCTATTATACCAGGAGCTGGCGGCACATAGAGATTGCCAAGATTAATTGGTGCATCTAAGGCAAAGGAACTTATATTCACCGGTGATAGATTAACTGGTGATGATGCTTTGAGAATGGGATTAGTTAATCATGTTGCTGATGATTATGAGTAAGCTTATCAAAAGGCCATTGAAATCGCAAATAAAATTGGGGAAAAAGGACCTATTGCAATTAAAGCTGCGAAGTAGGCCATTAGTTATGGAATGAATATGGATTTAAGAAGTGGCCTTGAATTAGAGGAAGCCTGTTATGCTAAAACTATTCATACTGAGGATAGAATGGAAGGACTTAAAGCTTTTGCTGAAAAAAGAAAACCAGTTTATAAAGGGAAATGATTGAGAAATATTTAGGCTAATATCAAATAATTTATTCAAGCTTACCTAAATTTGAATGTTAGAAATAAATATTAATGAGTGGGGTTTTGGGGTTTTGGGGGCAAAGAATCCAAATCGACTCTCATAGAATACTTTGTTGATAAGTTAGATTGGGAC